GTCAGATCAAAATGGAATTGATAGAAACTGCAAAACACAGCTTTTACAGCATACCTCTAACAGTCATTAGGTGGTTGAAGTTGGGGGTAAGATATCAAGTGGGTGATGGGCAACATATATCTACCTGGGAACACCCTTGGTTACCTAGGCCCTTAAACCCAATACCCACTTGCTGCTTTGAAAGGGACAAGAACAAATTGTCTAGAGTGGGCGATCTTATGATTGAGGGTGGTGGACATTGGGATAGGGATATAATTATGCAGTCTTTCAAACCTGATGAGGCTGAAATAATTTTAAAAATCCCTGTCTCTAAAACTGGGAAAAAAGATAAATTGATTTGGCTGTTTGGGAAATATGGGAAATTTGATGTTAAGTCAGCTTATGATGCTTTTGCTTTAGAGGCTGACAAGGGCAGATTTGAGTCGAGTTCTAGTGGGGGCCACAATATTAGAAAATCTTGGTGGAAGTTTACCTGGTCTCTCCCTGTTAAAAACAAAATAAAACACTTCTTGTGGAAGTGTTGGTATAGATTTATGGGTTCTAATGATCAGTTGATGTGGAGGAAGGTCATTAATGACAGCACCTGTGAGATTTGTGGGATAGAAGCTGAGGATCTAGATCATATTTTATTTTCATGTGTTAGAGCAAAAAAGGTGTGGAAACTGAGTGGCATTAATTGGACCATGCTGGAGACTGCAAATCCTAAATTCAGATGTTGGTGGAGTGATGTTTGTGATGCTGTTCATACCACTAGCCTTAGAGACAGAATCAGTTTATCTTGCTATATCCTTCGGTGGCTGTGGAAAACTCGAAATTTGTGGGTTTTTCAGAAAGTTAAAATGAATGAATGGCAGATAGCAGAGGGTGCTAGGGCTGAATGGATTGAATTTTCAAATGTGCTCAATCAGATGAAGAACAAGATAGGGGAGAAGGAGACAAACTTCAATAATGCTGAGGAGCAATTTTTTAAGAAGGTAGGACAGTGGAGCCTAACTGTCAGTGCCTTGAGCTCTTCATGTAATCTGCTGGAGGTTTCATGCAAAGCAGAGAAGGAGGGAGAAGAGACCATCTTTCTGAAATCAAGCTTGAGCTATGAGGGATGCAAGAAAGGTGCATTGCTGGAAGCTACTAGATGGACTTTGCTGCAAGCTGGCCATCAAGGGTGGCAGAACTGCATAATCAGATTGAAGGACAAGAATTTGGTGGCCAAGCTCCAAAGAAGGCTTCCTCATTTTGATGTTTGTTGTAACATAATAGCAGAAGATGTGATTTCTCTGTTGAACTCCCTTTCTGATGTATCTTTTGACTATTTAGCTTAAGCTTTGTCTTTTGCTTGCGGTTGTCATAGGAGTAGGATTATATCCTTACCTCCGAGTTGTTAATGCCCATTTGGGTGTACGGTTGTACATTATCTTGAGTTCTTAATAATATTTTCTTGTCGTTGGAAAAAAAAAATATTCCCTTCTTTTTCGGTTGACCATCTGGCGCGGGTCAATTTTTTCCCATGTTTTTCTCCGATTTGCTTTAACTTTATTTTATTTTCTACTTTGTGATTAAATTTGTGATTTAAATAAAATGATGTGGATTGCTTGATGTTATTATGTAAATATAACTTTAGATACAGTATATGGACGATATATAATTCTGCTATAAATTATAAATGTACTATTATTGGTGGGGCATATATATGCTTTATCACACAGAATATTCTGATGAAGTTCTTCCACGTTGTATATATCTTTTGTGAACTTTAGGCGTGATTAGATAAATGAGTAAATAATTTACAAGTATTAGGATTACAATACATATTTTTTATTTAAAATTCAACTCAAATTTGTATATATCTGCTAAACTTTGTACGTGATTAGATATATGAATATCTAATTTATTAGGTTTAGGAAAAAATACAAATTTTAAATTAAAATTCCAATTCAAGTTTAATTGGACTCAATTTTTTCTCAATATTTTCTATATAATCTATATATATATATATATATATATATATATATATATA